ATACAAACAATCATCCCTAGCACCTGGCTTTTGCCAGGTCTGCTTTATTGCCTAGTTTAGTGCCCAAGAAGAGCAAACAAGAGACAGGAAAAGAGAAAACTGCCAGAGATGCTGTTGGCCTATTGCAGAACCAAAACTTTGTACTTCAGCTATTTAGAATCAGCCAAGAATTCGAGTGTCTCCTCCTCTCTCCACACCCCCAACTTCCCAGTTTCAGTGTAATAGGCTGTAGAGTAGGGAGAGATTGGGGCAGGGAGGTTCGAGGAACTGAGATGATAGGATTAGTCACTTGGTCCTCTAATCATAAAGAATTGAAATTCCTCCCCAAATTTGGGATCTGGCCTGGGAGTTTGGAGAAAAAAAAATTTTTTTATAACAGCCTTATACTTAAGGACCCAGACTTTCCCAGTTTTTTCATGAGTCTGTCCTACTTCCAACCTATATTACAGACAAAAAATAAAATAAAAATCCTTGGTGACTGGCATTTTCTCCTGTTGTCTCCATACCTGGAATGCTTTCTCTCCTCATCTCTGCCTCCTGGCTTCCCTAGCTTCCTTCAAGTGCCAGCTAAAATCCTATCTTCGAGCAGAACCAGGAGAACGTTGTACATAGTAACAGCCACATTATGTGATGACTAACTTTGATAGACTTATCTCTTCTTAGCAATGCAAGGATCTAAGACAACTCCAAAAGACTCAAGATGGAAAATGCTATCCACATCCAGAAAAAGAACAATGGCGTCTGAATAGCATATTCTTTGTTCTCTTTTTTTTTTGTTTGTTTCTTCTTTCTCGCGGTTTCTCCCTTTAATTCTAATTCTTCTTTACAACATGACTATTATGAAAATAAGTTTAATATGAATTTGTATGTTGAGCCTGTATCAATTTACATTCAGTCTTGGGGTAGGGGAGGGGAGAGATGGGGAGAAAATTTGGAACTCAAAATCTCATGGAAATGAATGTTCAAAACTAAAAATAAATAAATTTATTATTAAAAATAAAAATCAATAAAAATAAAAATAAAGGGAAAAAATAAAAATGAAAAAAATCCTATCTTCTCTTAATTCTAGTGCCTTCCCTCTGTTAATTATTTCGTATTTATTCTGTATATAGTTTATTGTTTATATTTGCTTGTTGTCTCCCCCATTAGATATAAGCTCCTTAAGGGCAGGGACTGTCTTTTGCCTCTTTTTGTATACCCAGGGCTTAGCAAAGTGCTTGACTTATAGTACATATAACACAAATGTACAAATAGTACATTTATATAATACACAAATATAACACGAATAGTACAAAAACACACTTTTTTTTTGACTGACTGGCTCCTTCTCAATTACTATTGACTCCTCACATGTGGCTCTTGACAATTATTATGAAAGTGCAACTGTTTAGAAGCTCTTTTCCTTCCTCCTATAGCCTGATGAAGGGAGAAGGGGAAAATGTTACCTTGGCTTGAACTGGGTAGATTTTGTCAACGAAAGGAACTATTTCCTTCTCTGAGCTGATCATGCCCAAAATTTCCAGTTCTTCATTAAATTGAAGTCTTGCAATTCCCTCAAAGCACTTCTTTAAATGTGGCTGGACTCGGAGGGGATCCTTTGTTTCTGACAAGATCTCTAGCAGCTCATCATTTGATAGGAAAAAGAATCTGTTACCAAAGAGAAAGATGGAAAATGAAATTTCCCTTCAGGGTCAGGAGTTCCACAGAAATTCTACTCCCCAAACAAGGGGTGTTATCTTAGGAATATAGTGGCAACCTAGGTTTCCTCACTCCTTCTCTTTGCCAATGTTAGATGGGAATAAAATGTGGACATGGCATTGGCCAAAATGGTATCCATGAGTAATGGGGTTGGGGTGCTTGTTGTGGATTGAGAGATGACTGTAAGGAAGGTGAAAGAGAAAGGACTTTCTCTTCCAGTATACATCCCAGCAAGTTTATGGACATTCTAATAACTGAACAATGTTGAGAAACAATATAGTTAAATACTCATTTGAACAGAGATGAGCTTACCATCTTATAAAATGGCCAACAAGGCTGCCTGATTTGTCTTTTCAGTTCTGCAAGAGCCTATAATGTAGCCTTAAAGCTGCTCATGGGAGAGTTGTCCAATGGCCACAGTGATCATGGAGGGACCAAATTTTCCCATCTCCAAGTAAAGATGAGAAAAGTTACCCTCTATAGGTTTATACCCCCCAACTTCTAAATCATGTATTGAATCATCAGGTGTAATGTAATTACAGTAATAATTAAAGAAGAATAGTGGATAGAGAGCTAGCTTCAGAGTCAGTAAGACCTTAGTTCAAGTTCTCACCTCAGATATATGCTTGGGGTATGACCCTGGGAAAGTCATTTAACTTCTCAGTGTCCCAAGCAAGTCCCTAAGACCCTAAGTTTCAGAGCATATGGCAACATATTCAACAAGTGTGTGTTCTGTAGACTATAAAGGGGACTGAGAAAATGAGTATGAATGTTGCAGTATAAACCCTCCTCTCTCCTGGAAATTATGATTCAAAGGTAGTGACCTCTTTACTAATAGGGAATTGGAGCATGGGCTTCATAGAGGCTGGACAGCATGGTGTACCTGGAGAAAAACAATCTTTTCTTCTCCAAATAATCATTCAATCCCTTCTGGATGTCTTCCAACAGAAGGTTGGCTTCTCTGAGTTTATCCAACATCTGTGGCTGTTCTGTGGCTACAAGCACTCTGGCATCTTTCACCTAGAGAGAAGGGCCCAAAAAGTAAGATTGAATATCAAAGAAATACCATTTCCCATACTAACTCAAAGTTACCATAACTGTTCAGTATCTTTAGTTTCCAAAGCTGTCCAGGAAGTCTCAGTATCTGGGTCCAAATGGCCAGTTACCTGGAGGAATTTATTCCAGCTGTTGAACAGAGGTCTTCCAATCCAGAATAGAACTTCCCAGATAATTTATCTTGCAGCAAACTGAGCAGGTAAACTCCCTCAGGGCTAATCCCATACATGTACATACCCAATTTAAGAAAGACTAATTTTTAAGAATGTTTATACTTGATAAAACATTGATTGGGGGTGGGGGGAGGGGGGAGGGAGAGTTTTTCACATTAGAAAAGGATTTACCACAAATTCTTGCCCAAGTTTTTCTTGTCCAAACTTCTCTAATACATTTATAAAACTGGATTTACAGAAATTCAGTCAACCTACAACGTTCCAGGGACAAATTGCTATTAACAAACCTGAGGACGGGCAAGTGCTTACCGCCTGGATCATAATGCCCTTCCAATAACGATCGACAATTCCAAATTTCCTTCCCTCTTCTGGCATTTGTGCTACGATGTCCTCAGAACTGAAAATAGGCTCCAGGTACAACCACGTGGCCTGGCACTTCAACCAGGCATCTAAAATGCCCTGCATTTGGATCAGTTTCTCTTCCCATTTCTGTGAATACAACAATAGCCATTCTGAGCCATGCACCCAGAAGAAGACCAAACAAATCTCCAGGAAATTACCATGCCCAGATATGATGCTATACCAGGAAACATACGTAAAAAAAACCAAACAGACACATTTTTCTTTTGGTGCATTTAAAGCTGTTTCCCCATCCCCTATGTTGTCTCTCTACAGGGGTAAGCATCCAGAAGCCTGAATTCCCTATCTTCATGAAACTGGAAGGGACCTCAGAGATTATCCGGTCCAACCCTTTCATTTTATAGATGATAATTAACCACTCACATTTCTAGCACTTAGAAGGAAATTGAGTTTGAGAGATTCAGTGACTTCCCTAAAGTTACCTCACTAGTAAATGAAAGAGCCAGGATTCGAATGCAAATTTCTCCTAACTTCAAATCCTTCACTCCTTCTAATACATTATAGTGCCTTTCAGATGAGGGAATTGAAGTAACTCACTCAGAAGCAACTCACCCAAGATCACATGGGTATTACATGACAGAATTGAGATCTGAACTCAGATTGACTTCTTCTTCTCCTAACTTTGAAAGTTCAAACTCACTAAAATTTTAATTTGCCTCAAAGTGCTTATTATAATACTCCATATCAAGTATACAAGGCTTAGATTTTATGCTAGACTTTTTAAGGGGTCTTTGCCCTTTCCCCTTCTGAATTTTTAAGAATATATTTTAATGGAATGGATTATTTTAGAACAGATCGTGTAGGTCCTTACAACTTTGATGAACTTTCCATGAATGTGCTGGTACTGATAACATGAACTTGTGAGAGAAAGCATGGCACAAGTAGATAGGAGGCAGGTCTTAACGGTTGGGGAGACCTGGGTTTATGTCCTTTTTCTGATACATACACACTGTATGAGCCTATGCAGGTCACAACTTCTTAGTGACCCCATGAAAACTCCTGTAAGGCTGTAAGTTACAGAAGTGTAGGAGTCCCCTAAACAGATAGACTTGGTTTGACCCAATAGTAATGACAATTATTCATAATCTTTTAGCTAACATTTATATAGCACTTATTACGTGCCATTTGTTGTTATTCAGTCATTTCAGTCATATCCAATTCTTTGTGACCCCATTTGGGGTTTTCTTGGCAAAGTTACTGGAGTGGTTTGCCATTTCCTTCTTCAGCTCATTTTATAGATGAAGAAAGTGAGGCAAGCAGGGTTAAGTGAATTGCCCAGGGTCATACAGCTAGTAAGTGTCTGAGGTGGCAGATTTGAACTCAGGAAAGATTAGTCTTTCTTGTTTCAGTCCTGGCACTCTATCCACGGTTCCACCTAACTGCCCCTACTATATGCTGAGCACTTTACAAATATTATCTCATTTGGTCCTCACAACAAACCTGGGAATTAGGTACTGTTACTATCATCCCCATTTTACATTGAGGAAACAGAGGCAAACAGAGGTTAAGTGACTTGCCCAAGGTCATACAGCTATTAAGTATCTGAGGCCAGATTTAAGCGTGGGTCTGCCTGACAACAGGCCTGGTGCTCTATCCACTGTGCCACCTAACTGCCTCAGTTAGCACTTTTCAGTTTACAAAATGCCATGAGGTACGTAGTACAAATGTTACACTATTTTGTAAAAGAGAAAAGTAAGTGATTTACCCTGGCAAATCACAGAGCCAGGAATTGAATATAGCTTTTTCAGGCCCCTGAGATCACAGGATCACAGATTTAGAGCTGGAAGTCATCTATCTAACCCTCTTATTTTATCAGTAAGGAAACTGAGACCCAGAAAAATTAAGTGACTTGTTCAAGGTAAGGAATGGCAAAACTTGGATTGAAACTCAGGTCCCCTAACTCTGAATCCAGCAATCTTTCCACAGCATTTTTATTTCCATTGCATTAATAGTTCTATGCTACTATGGTGTAAGATTTATAGCCTGGCCCCCAGCTCTGCCGGAGCATATCAAATTAACTAATATTTACCCAATATTCCCTATGGAAACAAATTGCATTGATTAAAATATCTGTGTAGGTGTGGCTTTAATGCTATTTCTGGTATTACTATTTTTGTGGAAACATAAACATACAAAAACAAAATCTAACAACAGAAAAAACAAGTCTGTCCTAAACAGTGAAATTTCCTTATTAAAAAAAAAAAAAAGAAGAAAGAAACGATCAAGGGTCAATACTGTTTCTTTCCAACTCATTGGTCACTGAGGTTTGCCAGGCATAGGTAGGCAGTTTCTGCCCACCCCCTCCTCCCCCTGCCTTTGGTCTGTGTCTTCAACAGTACAGGGAGCTCTTGGGATGGCATTTAAAGAGTAGTGCCAATGATTGTGAAGTCTTGGGCAAGAAACTGAAGACCGTAGGGCACAGGTTATTTTCCTCACTGTTACCAAATGAAAGCAAAGGAAGAAGAAGAAAAAAATGTACTCTGGGAAAATTAACAGCTGGCTAAGAAGATGGTATCTGTGAATGAGATTTGGGCTTCTGAACCATGGCTTAAAATATAGGGGTGAGAAATATACTTAACAAAGGTTAGTGAGAATATTAGTGAGAATGCTGGGTGTCTTGCAAATTTAAGTAAAAGGGCTTTAAACTAAAAAGAGTGGGACAGAGACCACCTATGTATATTTTTCCAAGTTAGATACTATAGAGAATAGCTACAAAGAAGGAAAAATAGCAGCTGAGCTATATAGAAGTTCACATCTAGGGTAGTGAAAGAACTGGCAGATATGACCCATTGAGCCCCTACCAGAGACAAAGCCTCTGAAAGAGCTAGCAGTAAAATCCACAGCTTCAAATATCTATACACAAATATTGGATTTAGATTACAAACAAGAGAAATGTGAGGTTCTAGCACAAGGGGGTAAATTTGATTTCATAGGTATCACTGAGACTTGGTGGGAAGAAACTCATGGACCCCGGCTCTAGGTACATATGTCTGAACCAAAAGAAACAGAAGAAGTAAAAAAGGGAGAGGGGGTAGCCTAAAGAAAGAAGAAAGGAAGGAAGGAAGAAAGGAAGGAAGAAAGGAAGGAAACAAGCATTTGTTAAGTGCCTACTATGTACTGTGCTAAGTTCTCTATAAATAGAATCTCATTGGATCCTCACAACAAAGCTGGTAATTATCACCCCATTTTATAGTTGAGAAAATTGAGGCAAAGAGGCTAAGTGACTTGCCCAGGGTCACGTAGCTAGTAAGTGTCTGAGGTCACATCTGAACTCAGTTTTCCTGAGTCTAGGTCTAGCACCCAGCTGTTTCTATTAAGAAGGTATACTTATTATATGAGGAAATCCACATAATTTCCTATAGCTGAAGCATGAAGGAAAGCATTTCGGTAAAAGGATAAAAAGATGTGATTCTTGTCTTGAGAGTATACTATAGACCATAGAAAGAGGAAATAGATAGGAGTTTGGGAAATAGGTCACAAGCCTGGTACAGAGGTGTGGTATAGTTGTGAAGGGGGACTTCAATTATCTAGATATCTGCAGGAGCTCTCTCCTCTTGCCTCAGTGATCATTTCATCCTCCAAAAGGTATGAGAACCAAGAAGGAAATTCTATTAAGGATCTCTTACTAACAGAGAGGAATTAGTTGCAGGTGTGGAAATGATGAGACCTGAAATGGGAGTAGGGAGGAATGGCCACTCTCTCCTAGAGTTTGTAAAAGGAGAAAATTTCCAGGCATAGTCTGATATGTATTCAAGATTTTTTTCAGAAAGCAGAATTCAGGGGAAGAATAGGCAGTACCCCCTGGACTAAAATGCTTCAGAAGAAGTCAGCTGAGGAATTTGCTCAAGAATAAAATTTTGAAGACAAAAATGGAAACAATTCCAATAAGGAAGGGGAAAAGGGATTTGTCAATCAGTCCAAAAACATTTATTAAGTGTCTACTATGTGCCAGGCACTGTGCTAAGTGCTAGGGATACAAAAAAAAAAGGCAAAAAACAGTCCCTTCCCTCAAGGAGCTTGCAGTCTAATGGAGGAGACAACATGCAAACAATGGACAGACCAACCAAATTAGATTTAAAGAAAAATTATGGAAGCTAGATACATAACTAAGCATAAAAATAATAGTGTGGCATAGTTCTGCAAAAATAATGTCAGGAGTACTAATGCTGGGAATGAACTGAGGCTATTGAAGGAATCTAAGAACAAGAAAAAGTTTGGTTTGTTTTTTTTTTAAGTTCATTGGGAGAAAAAGGAAGAGGAAAGAAGGAATAGGACCTTTGCTCTGGGGTGGATGGGATGACAACTGACAACAGAAAGAAGGCAGAGCTGCTCATTACTAATTTTGCTTCTGTTTCCTCTGCCAAGGAGAAAGACAGTTGCACTGAAAATGACTCAACAGCAATGACTAACAGGGACTTGATATTCAATATAAGTATGGAGATAGAAAGAGATCAGCTAGTTGCCTTTGATAAGTAGCCAAGCCCATGTAAACCACATCTAGGGTAGCGAAAGAACTAGCAGATATGACCCACTGAGCCCCTATCGGTAATACTATAAAGGTCATGGAAAATAGGAAAGGAACTACAAGATTGGAAAGGGGGTGGAGGTGTGAAGAAAACAAGTCTGCAAATTATAGACTTGACTTTGATTCCAGGAAAAATTCCAGAACAGATCTATAAAGAGATGATTGGCAAATGATGAGAAAAGGAATCAGGGATTACAGAGTCAGCCCAGCTTCATTGATAATAGGACATGGCAGACCTACTTTATTTTCATTTTTTTGATTACTAAACTAGCAGATGAAGGGAAGGCTGCAGATACAGTTTACTCTAGATTTTAGCAAAGCTTTTTAAAGTGTCTCATACTATTCCTTTGGAGAAAATGAAGAGATGTGGACTAGATTATACATTTAGATGGCTTCAGAATTGGTTGGATGAATGGATTCTAAGAGTAGTTGTTAAGGGTTCCATATTAATGTGGCAGGAGGTCTCCACTGAAGTACCCCAGGGGTCTGAACTTGTTCAGACCCTGTTCTGCTCAACATTTTTATCAATGGCTCAGATAAAGACATAGAAAGTATATTCATCATATTTGTAGATGACACTTAGCTGGGAACCTGGATAGTGTTCTATCCAGGATAATGAAGCTAGAATCCAAAAGGATCTTGACAGGCTAAATTCAATGAGATAAAATTTACTGTGGATAAATGTAAACTCTTAGGGTTGGTTACACAAAATCAACTCCCCAATGACAAGATAAGAGAGGCAATGATTAGACAGCAATGGCTGTGTAAATATCTGGGGGTTTTCATATACTTCAAGATCCATGTGAGTCAGCAGTATCACATGGCAACCAAAAAATTTTAGGCTTCATTAAAAAGAGCACAGCTTCCAGGAATAGGGAAGTGATAGTCCCACTGAAACTTGCCCTCATAAAACTCCTCCTTCACATTCAGTTCTGGGCATCAGAGTTTTGAAGAACATTGGTAATCTGGAGAATGTCCTAAGAAAGGGAAACCTAGATGGCCAAGGGCCTCAGATTCATGCTATATGATAATCAGTTGGAGGAACTAAAGATTTTTAGCCTAAAGAAGAGAAAACTGGGGGAGTGATGACAATGGGGAAGTGGGGTATGACAGTTGTCTTCAAGTATTCTTGAAGGGTTATCTGGAGGAGGTTATCTGGTTATCTGGAGGGAAAAGGCTTAGACTTCTTTTGTTCTTTTTGGCTCCAGAGGGCTGAGACAGAAATGGATGAAAGCGATCAAGAGGAAAATTTCAACTCAAGATCAGGAAAAATTTCCTGTGGAGATTTCCTTCTGTGTAGGTTAGACTTGAGGGCCCAGAGGTCTCTTCCAACTCCCAAATTATGTGATACTGTGGAAATTCCCTATAGAGATGCAGCTTAGCAATTCATCTGTAACTTAAATTTAAGAGAGTTTCTTGAGGCCTTGTTAGGTTAAATGACTTTGACACAGTCACCAAACTAGTATGAGTCAAAGGCAAGACTTGAACCTTGATCCTTAGGACTTCAAGACCAAGGGTAGGATCAAATGAAATAATCTGTATAATTTTGTTGTTCAGTCATGTCTAACTCTTCATGACCCCATTTAGGGTTTTCTTGGCAAAGATACTAAATTGGCATGTTATTTCCTTTTCCAGCTCATTTTACAGATGAGGAAACTGAGGCAAACAGGGGTAAGTGACTTGCCCAGGGTCACACAGCTAGTAAGTGTCTTAAGGCCACATTTGAACTCAGTAAGATGAGTCTTCCTGATTCCAGGCCTGATGCTCTATCCACTGCGCCATCTAGTTGTGGTGCAGTGTAAAGTGCTTTGCAAACCTAAATAGATAAAATTAAAAACCTTAAAAAAAAAAACCTTAATAGATAAAAGTTATTCATGGGAGGGAGCAACATTGTGATTTCCCCCTATAAATACAGATCTACAACTGTTCTACAACTGATGCTAGCCTTAGAGAGTTGCCTGGGGATACTGAGATCTTAAGTAACTCAACAATGATCCCACAGTTATGTGTAAGAGGCAAGACTTAAAGTCCTCAAGTCTTCTTGACTTATACCATACTACTTATTTATGACTACTTTCAAGTTTCCCCCTAAAGACAAGCAGAGACTTTGGTCAGGAGTGGATGAGCCTCCACACCACTACCTTCCCTTCTGTGTGCACATGTATGTACTTTATGCCTTGGTTTTGGGGAAAGAAAAGGAGAGGATGGAAAGGGACACCATGTCCTACTTTCCAATAGTTTTGGGGAGGTCTTGGACCATCATACTAGTTTACATAGTGCCTGACACATAGTAGGCACTTAATAAATGTTTAATGATTGATTGTATGATGGGAATTTTTTTCTTTCCTTTTATTAATTTTTATCATTCAGGACTCAGGACTATTCCTCCTGCAACTTTTGGTTAACAGAAAGCCTATTTTCTGTTAATATTAACCTCACTTGACTCATGGAATAATTGTTTTAAGAGAAGACTTTTGACATTCCAGAGATAAGGAACCACATGAGAGGAAGAATGGAATACAGCACCCTTTTTTTTTTTAAGGCAATTGGGGTTAAGTGACTTGCCCAGGGTCACACAGCTAGTAAGTGTCAGGTGTTTGGTCTGAGACCGGATTTGAACTCAGGTCCTTCTGACTTCAGGGCTGGTGCTCTATCCACTGCGTCACCTAGCTGCCCCGGAATACAGCATCTTTAAAGCCTCCCCAAAAAGATTTTATTTGTGGAAAAATTTCTCTGACTCCAAGTCTTTGTGACAAATCTCTTTTTCTCAATTGGCCTACTGTAACTTTTTGAAAATGTAGCCTGGTAATGTAGGATTTTACAAACTCAATGTTTAATCTGGAACCTTACTTAGTTTTCCTATAGAGTCTATTTAACTAGATTTGTTTCCTTAGGGGATTTATTCTATGTTTTTTTTTCAACTTTTATGACGTTGAAGGAAACATGGAATTATGAATCTGTCTTTTTTTTTAACTTTTATAGCCTAAAAAATGTACAAGATTACAACAAGTAAAAGAATTATCTTTCTGCCATGATTTTGTCTATAAAAAGCCTCTTTAGAATTGTAATCTCTGTGCTTAAGCATAATAAAATCTAGATTTTTACCTCTATAATTTCTGTGTTGTGGTAGATTTATTTAGGAGCAGTAACTACTACAAGAATTCAAAAAGGAGATTATTCCTCCCACAATGATTGGTTAGCTTGCTGACTACTTTTCACAGGAAACCATAATTCTTAGAAGAGATAGAGAGTAGGAGGATAGTTCAACCTTTTGTACCTTGAAGGAAGAACTCAGAATACTTAAAAAAAAAAATCCAACCTACATCCTCTTACCTGAGCTTCAGTTTCTATGGGTTTGATGAAAGGTGACCCACACATGGTCTGTGTCTTTATCACATGATCATCAAGTATTAGCTGAATGTCATCAATTGAACACAGGATATTCATGTCCTGCAAATACAGAGATTCTAATTAAGAATATCGCAAGAACAAAATGTTCAATATAGTCATTCTTTTTAATAATAACAACAATAACAATGTTGAAAGTGGATTTGGGGGAGAACTTGATGGACTCCATTTTGTGTTATATTTGCTGTTATCATGTAAATTACTGGTATTTCCCTTCCCCTAATCACTTTAAGGTTTCAAAAGAAAACTCATAGGATTTTGAATAGTTCCCAGGAACTCTCTCATTTTTCTTAATCCTATCTAGTAAGACACACAGGCACACACCCACTCACAAAGGCTGAGTAGGAGCTTAACAAATGCAAACAATTGACTGATAAAGAAGATAGTTTTTCAAAATCTTATAAAAGTGAATGTTGAAAACTATCTTTACATGTAATTGGAAAAAATAAAATACTATTAAATGGGAAAAAAAGAAGTTTTCTGGTGTACAAAAATTTAAGCATGCTTGTTCTTTTGCTAAAAATGTACCTTTTCCCTACCTAGATGTCCTATCTGGTCTTACCCAAAACTCTCTGAGTCATGTAGCTCAGGAGCAGAGATTAAATATATGTCATCCGTGGAATTGTGAGACACACCCATCTTTCACCTACTGATGGGGTATGTCACTCTTGAGTGGATAAATAAACTGCAGTATGCCTGGCTCTCTGTAACCTGCACTGGCTTTATTCATACAGTGGCTAGCAAAGACTGAAAATTTTTGCAAAAATAATGATAGCTAACATTTATATAGTACTTACTATGTGCTATGCACTGTGCTTAGCACTTTATAATTATTATCTCATTTGTCCCTCACAACAACCCTGCAAGGTAGGTGTTATTATTATTCCATTTTACAAATGAGAAAACTGAGCCAGACAGAGATTAGGAAGTATCCAAGGTAGAATTTGAACTGAGATCTTCCTGACTGGGCTTGGTGCTTTATCCACAGCATCACTAGCTGATAAGAAGTACTCTGGCCCTGTTTCTGTATCAGTTAGGATAGGAACAATTTCTGTTGCATATAATCAGTATGTCCAGGTATAATGGAATTTTTATTCTCCTAGAAAATAGATTTTAAGTGATTAATTCTTCCACTCCTACCCCCACTATGATCGTAGCATAAATATGTGCACAGAGGTCACAGCTAATCCAATGAGATAATGCATTTGAAAGCACTTGGAAAAATATAAGTGCTATAAAAATATAAGGGATTATCACTATTATTAATCTTCTGTTCTAGTGGTCAACAAATGTGAATTTATTTTATTTTATTTTTTCAAATGTGAATTTTAAAAGATGAGTATGTAGACACACAGGAACATCCCTAGTTAGTTGGGAAGCCAGGAAAAATCAAGTATTCTCCCCACCCTCCTTTCCTTCTAATACTTGTATACAGGTAAAATCAACTCAATTAAATTCCACAAACATTTATTCAGCACTTGCCATGCATTGAGTACTTTAGATAGGCATTAGGGAGACACACAGACCAAAAAAAAAAAAAAAGACATTGCCTTCAGAAAACTTCCATTCTACTAAAAAAGTTAAAATGAAGATCAAAGGTACTTTTAAAGTAGAAAACTTGGCACAAAAAATGCAAAACCATGCCATTTGGGGGTATTTTTGAAGAGAAGGGGAGAATTTTCCATCCCTGTCTTTCTCACTCCTCCCCTACAACTTTGTCTTGGAAAGGGTGGAAAATTCAGAGTGCATGCACACACAAACATAAATATATGAACCTCAGTCTAAATGAAGTTCCCCAAGGGTGATAACCAGTCCTCATCTGCCACAAACTAGTGATGACCGGGAATGTCCAGAATATAATATATTTACCTTTAAATGAGACAATGATGGTAGCTAATATTTATTTAAATAATGCCTCCTATGTGCCAGGCACTGTGCTAAGTAATTTACAAATGTTATGAGATGGATCCTGGATAAATCTAAGTACCAGAGGATTATAGATTTTAGATATGTCAATCTGGATATAGAACAGAGCTGGATTAGAAGAAATCTAGTCCAACTACTCATTTTATAGGTGAATGACTTGCCCAAGGTCATACAATTATCAAGTAGCAGAGCCAGGATTAGAACTCAGGTCCACTGACTCTACATCTAGAGCTCTTTCTGCTATATGTACCTGTAGTCTCCCTTGATAGCTCCCCTGAGAAAATGTTGAGGTCCTTCAGTGTAGGAATTTTTTTTTCAGCTTTGTTTTTTATAATCCTTGGAACCTAGAACAGCGCCTGGCACATAGTAGGTGGGTACCTGATAGATACTTATTGATCAATTGATTGTACCATGCTTCCTCTGGCTCCCTATATCCACTAAGTTTCTTGTTCTTTCCCTGCAGACCTTCAGCTTTAGCAATTCACTCCTTATATCTAGTAAGTACTCGTTTTTTTTCTACAAACCTTCAGGTTTTTAGCAACTCACCCCTTGAAGTAGATGGTCAGAATATGAAATAAGATGTGCATTAATGTTCAAAACTTAGTAATAGAGTGATTGCAAATTGGTTCCCTTTCCCTTCTCTGCCTCCCCCAACATCTCTATAAAAACAGCATGGTCAGAATGTCTGACTAACTCACCGTGTCCCTGTATTTCGAAAAGTTAAAAACCATGTTGGCCCACTCGGATTTCATTTTATCCATGTTTTTCTCCAGGGAATATTCTTTACTGGCTGCTGCACTAATAGGTTCAAGTCTAAATGGAAAGAAGAAAAAGAAAACAACCCGGGAGAGGTATTTTAACACAGCTTTGAAGAAATTCAGAAAGCCCTTGGCCTTATTAACACTTTTTTTGACCCACCAGGGAGCACAAGCCCTCTACAGAAGCTATCAGGGTCATTGAAATGATGTATCTTCTGGCAGAGAAAATACGAGGCTCTGAAGAAATACCAGGTCTTGGGGCCATTTTCTATTTTTATTTCCTGCCCATTCACCCACAACCTGGTTTCTTTTAGGGTCTGTCTAATCTGCTGCAAACATTATCTGTCCCCTCTATACTATCCTTATCACTTATCTTTTATTACACTCATATGTGCTTAGAATTTACATTCTCCATAAGACTATAAGCTCTATGAGGTCAGGGAGTTTTTGTTGCTCTCCCTCCTGGCCTAGCAGTGTGTTCTGCACACAGTGTATATGTGGTGTTTAATTGGATTGAATTCAGTCACAGGGCCTATGTTTATTCTCAATTGCTTTAACCATATCCAATACCCCTTATCCACTTGTTGTTTTTCAGTCTTTTCAGTTGAGTCTGACTGTTCATGACCCCATTTGGGGTTTCCTTGGCAAAAATACTGCTGGTTTGCCATTTCCTTCTCCAGCTCATTTTACAGATAAGGAAACTGAGGCAAACAGGGTTAAGTAACTTGCCCAGGGTCATACAGCTAGTAAGTGTCTGAGGCCAGATTTGAACTCAGGTCTTCCTGATTCCAGGGCTGGTACTCTACCCACTGTACCACCTAGCTGCTCCCTCTTCACCCCCACCCCAGTCACTTACACATTTTAAAATGCTATCTACCTCCAGAGAAAGAACTGATGCAGTCTTAGTGCAGCTGGAAGTATAATTTTTTTTTACTTTCTTTATTTTTCTTCCCTTTTTTTGTGCAACACAGCTAATATGGAAATATGTTTTGCATGATTTCACATGTATAATTGATATCACATTTCTTGCCTTCTCAATGGGTGGGGGAGGAGTTAGAGGAGAGAAAGAATTCAGAACTCAAAAAAATTTTAAATGAATGTTAATAAATAAATAATAGGATTTTAAAAAGTTGCTCTTTTTTTTTCTTCCATTAACATTACTAAGAACAAATGATTTACTACTTTGGAATCTTTTGTTTTATAGAAGGAGGTGGGAACAGAACCAGATTCCTCAATCTTAAGCCTGAGTCTTGAGCTATGGAAATGGATACTTTGTGACTAAAAATGGAGACACAAAGGCTGAATTAAAAAAAAAAAATAAGACTGGGTCTCTCACCCAGGAAGTGCAGGAACTACTCATGAGACTGTCCCTATTACTGTTCAGCAAGAGAGCTTTGAGCTGCTCTGTCTCCACCTTGGGCTAATTCACCCTTCCTTCAGTAACCTGGTAACTCTCAGCTTCTAGGGATTCACCATATGAAATTCTTCATTTAGTCAGGACCCGCTTTAGCCCTACAGCAGCTGAGAACTCGTGAGCTTAAGAGAGCCACCAGCCTCAGCTTTCCTGTTAGCTGGGATTATAGGCTTGAGGGAATGTCTAGGGAGGGCTAAGAAAAGGGACAATTAATTTTCTGTTTCGATAAGGTCAAACAAATCATATTTCATAGAGAGCTAAAGCTGAATAGGATTGTAAGAGGTATATAGTACAATACCCTCATTTTACAGATGAGAAAATAGAGGCATAAGGATGATAAGAGAAGAAGTAACTTGGCCACGCTCAAAAAGCTAATTAATAGCAGACCTAGAACCAAAACTCATGTCTCCCAAATCCATATACAGCTGTTTCTTTAATATTACATTGCATCCCCAAACTTTGCTGGGAAAAAAAATAATCATTACTGTTTCTATAGCTCACATGGAATTATGAATGACAGGCACTAAGGTTCTAGGGTGGGACTTGGGATAACTGTTTTATGTCCAAAAACAGGAATATGAATTCTCAGTTATCCATAATACTAATGAATGGAATCAGGGGTGCAGAGAACCTCAAACAATCGCTAATCCAAAAGACATCATCAGATTTCCTTTTCTAATTATGGCTTACTGAGGCTAATACCAAAATGAGTTTTCATTCCCTGAGCACACTTGGATTAAGAAAGGGTGGCAGCCAGCTCAGCAGTGTGCTCAAAGCCAGAGAAAGCCAGTTTGGGATAAAAATGTCAGCACAAAGAATTAATAAGACAGATATTTCCCACACAGATAACTACATTAATTACATACAAATGAACAAAAGAAATCTTATGGGGAGGGTAGAAATGCTATCATTGCCTTTTTATTAAGGGAGAAAAAAGAATGCTCAGGGTTGAACTTTCCCAGTCTTTACATGTAGCAGAGGTTTAATGTTTGTTGACTTAGAAGACTTACAAACAATAATATAGTTAGCATTTATATAGCACTTTAAGGTTTGCAAAGTATTTTACATAGATTAACTCATTATCTGGTCCTCACAATAACCCCAAAGGCAGGTGTAATTATTAGTCTTATTTTTTGTTGTTGTTCAGTTGTTTTTTAGTTGTATTTGACTCTTCATGACCCTATTTGGGAGTTTTCCTGGCAAAGATACTGGTGTGGTTTGCCATTTCCTTCTCTAGCTCATATTACAGCTGAGTAATTGAGGTAATCAGGGTTAAATGCCCAGGGTCACACAACTAGTAAGTATATGAGGCAGGATTTGAACTCAGGTCCTCCTGACTCAAGGCCCAGCACTCTATCTACTATGCCACCTAGCTGCCCCAGCCTCATTTTACAAATGAGGAATCAGAGACTAAGAGAGTTGTTACTTGACCTACCCAGGCTCAAGATGTGAACTTAGGTCTTCATGAGGACAAGCCTGGCACTCTTGATATCACACCAAAGCCAGGGGTCCTGATTCTGAGACCACACACTTACCAGACCTGGCAAACCTATGAAACAGGCTAAATTCGCGTGCTCATAACCAAACTCTCTACCACCCCTTTTCCTCAAGCGCCCAGCGCCTCATTTTGCCGTAAGCCTCTCGCCATATTGAAGGCTGAAACTCCTAGGGTGACTCAGCAGCCAAACCTAGCAGCTTGGTGTCCCATTCTGTCAGGACCTGTTCTAGATGCATATGATAAAGGCTTTTAATGGGTTAGTCAAGTAACACAAATTATGCTAAAGTCTTACCCTCCCAGTTAGCAAAGTTCCTTTACCGACTGCTTTTCCAAAGGAGTCAATTATCCTGTAGACTCTTAAAGACCACTAAGGTTGGGAATTTCAAGTTCTATGACAGACACAGAGGTTGGGGGAAAAGAGGAAAACTTAGAGGGAGCAGATAATTTTAAGTAATACTCTGGGGAAGTGTAGGGTGATCCCTGAATCTGACTCCTAGGGCCACTGTCTGCAATTCACTTCCTAAATTTTCTGCCATTCATACCCTGAGTAATATGTAGTAGAAAAACCAAGGAGGTAACATGAGTTATGGGAAAAAGTCAGTATTTAAAAATAGCAGGTATAATAGGAACAAAATTGAACTTAACAGTCAGAAAGTTGAGTTTCAGATCCCATTTCAACCAGCTTCTCTGAATTCCCTCATTTTTAAAACGAGAATAATAACTAACCCATAGGGTTTTGTGGGATTCTGGACGCAAGACTTACATCAACTGATGCATGGTGAATAGAACCAGGAGAACAGCAGTATTGTTCTGAATGACATAACTATTCTCAACAATACAATACAATGATCCAAGACAATTCCAAAGGACTAATGATGAAGTATACTATCTGCCTCCAGAGAAAGAACTGATATTGATTGAATATGGATTGAAGCTCACTATTTTTCACTTTCTTTCTCTTATTTTTTTCTTTTATTCGAATCTCATTGTACAAAATGACTAATATGGAAATGTTTTCCATAATTGCACATGTATAACCTATATTGGATTGTTTACTGTCTCAGGGAAGGGAGAAGGAGGGAGAAAAAGAATTTCGAACTCAAAACTTTAAATAAAAATCTTAAAAAAAGATTCTGGATTACAAAATGCAATAGGATTTTGAATTTGGGAGTCAGAAAATAGGGTGCCAAACTAATTAGTAGCATATGACCTTGAGCCTCATATTCATCATTTATAAAATGGGAATAATAATTCCCCTACCCTACCTTATAGCTTTGTTGTAAGAAAAATGCTTCATAAACTCCCTCATGCTATATAAATTACTTCAGTTCAGTAAACATTTATTGATACCTACCATGTGCTAGGTACTGTTAGTCACAGTTAGTAACTAACACAGTTTGTCCCAAAGACAAAAACGAAATAGTCCCTGCTCTCAAGGAGTGTATATTCTTGGGCTGAGAGAATTGGAGGTCAGGACAACATTCAGAGATAAGTAAATTCTAAGACATTAGCCTCCCTAGTCTGCAGTTTCCTTATTTGCACAATGAAAGGAAGGATTGAACCAAATGATCTAGAAGGTTCTTTTCAACTCTAAATTCTATGATTTATTATTTCATTCCCTAAACAGGTGGCATGGGGTATTTGAAGGCAGAAGGGAAACTCAGAAATATCCCACTTTTCATTTTAAGGGATTTCCATTTTACTTGTTTTTTTTTGGGGGGGGGGGTGGTAATTGTTGTTCATTGTCTCACCTCAATTTCATAATTTCAATCATACCACATGCAGCTGGGAATTAATACTTTGTTAATACTAATGTTACAATGTGAGCCTTATTAAGAAATATGATGAAACTTTAAATGCAAAAAAAAAAAAAAGGAAAAGAAAAAGGAAAGGAAATGCATAGATATATGGCATCTCACAATTCTCTTTGGTCCATGAAAAAAATCATCTAAAGGAAGAGTTCAATCACTTACTTATCAATAAACTTGCTCATTCCAAATTCCAGCATGTTTAAAAGACAAGTTGTTTCATCTGGCTGTATTTCAGTCCCCACTATTTCACTGATCTAAAAGAGAGAAAGAAAATAGATCAGATTATAGTGACAAGAGCTAACAATGAACACTTCTTATAATACTTTCAAGACTTGCAGCACAAAACTCAGTCATGTGTGACTCTTCAGGACTCCATTCAGGGTTTTCTTGGCAAAGATACTGGAGGATTTTGCCATTTCCTTCTCCAACTCATTTTCCAGATGAGGAAACTGAGGTCAACAGGGTTATGTACCCAGGGTCACACAGCTAGTTGGTTGGTTGTTGTCCTTTCTTCTCAGAAAGGACCAAAATAACGTCACTATGTTGGGGTCAAGATACAGTGTGTCTGACTGTGGCTGATCAGACTAATATGAGCTCAGAAGGCTCTACCACAGGTCAGGCTCAGGACATTTGGAGTGGAGATATCTCTGAATTTGTGCCTAAATGCCTGAGGCCAGATTTGAACTCAGGAAGAGAGCATTTCTTATTCCTTATGTCTCATGTTAACCATCTCCAGGAATGTTAATTAACATGGATAAGGAGCTTTAAGATTTGCAAAGGGCTTTTTGGACATTATTGATTTGATCCTTATAACAACTGTGTGAGATAAATGCTTTTATCCCCGTTTTACAAATGAGGAAACTGAGGCTCAGAGGGATTAAGTGAATTGGTCACACATCTAATAAATGTCTGAAGCAGGATTGTTCGGTTATTGGCTCCAAGTCTGGGGTGGGCAACTTGAGGCTACATGTGGCCTTCTAGGTCCTTGGGTGTAGCCTTTTGACCGAGTCCAAGTTTTACAGAACAAATCCTTTTATTGTTCTACGACGTTTGGATTTGGCCTCGAGACTGCAGGTTCCCCACTCCTGCATTATACCATCTACGTCTTTTGTGTTTCTCAAACCAAAGGGGTCAGGTGGAAACAATATAATGACTTCCTTTAGTCACCTATGAAGCTTTCCTCTGCCCTGCTCCACTCCCAGACCAAATTCCTTCCTAGGACAAAGAGAAAAATTAAGCTAGAACTCACCCCCCTCACAATCTCAGCCCATCCTTGCTCTTTTGACAACCAGATGATGATAGCATCAAGGTCCTCACTAGAAATTCCCAAGCAGCCTTCTGTGTCATATCCCAAACACAGGGCATGAAGCCTTCCCACACTAGCAAGGGTCTGTACCAGGCGTGGGTTCAAGATAGTTATTATAGGAGGTAGCCAATCAGAGAGATTCTGTAGTTGGATGTCCAGCCCCCTTATTTTACAGATTTAAAAAACAACAACAACAACAAAAAACAGAAACCTAGAGAAGTTAAGTGACTTAAGATTATACAGGTAGTAAGCACCAGATGTGGGATCTGAATCTATGTCCTATGATATCAGAGTCAGTGCTTTTTCCACTTTTCAACATTTGTTGACTACTGTACCTACAGGAACGGTAGCTAGGCAGCACCATAGTACACAGAGTGCCAGGCCTGGAGTCAGAAGACTCATCTTCTGAGTTCAAAGCTGGCCTCAGACACTTATTAGCTGTGTGACCCTGGGTAAGTCACTTCACCCTGGTGGCCTCAGTTTCCTCACCAGTAAAATGAGCTAGAGAAGAAAATAGCAAACCATTTCAGTATTTTTGCCAAGAAAATCCCAAACGGGGTCACTGAGAATCAGACACGACAAACGACTGAACAATAAAAAATGTCTACAAGAAACTTATTTTAGAGGAAAACAACATGTGCCCAAATGATATATTTGAGCTATTAAAACTTAAAACTTGCATTAAGACTTTTGTGACACCCTGTACATCATCATCATTATCATCATCACCATAACTAATACTTATATAGCATGTACTATATGCCATGCACTGTGCTGATTGTGCAAAGTAAAATATATCCAAAGTAATTAGGGGAAAATGGTAGGGATGGGCAGGTGATTGGGGGAGGATTCATTTAGGAAATGACACGAACTGAGCTTCAGATGGAATTCTCACCTTTCCTACTAGAACCCTGTAGAGTTTTCACTCCATGAGAAAACCCAAGTGTCAACTTCTAAGCAAAATTGTTCTGTAATATTGTTCTCCTGAACTATGCAGCTAACACCGCCCATTTCTCTGCAGTACAACTTGATTTTATATATATATATATATATATATATACACATATATATACACACACATCTATATATGTATTTTATATACGTGAGAGAGATAGAAGGGAAGGGAAAGAGAGAGGGACAAAGTATAGATAGCACTGTGATTACAACCCCACCTATAAGATTGATGAATTAAATATAGCACTTGCTCTGGGCAAAATTATAAAGTATGCAGAATTTGTCTATGATGCCCTCCTTTCAGTGCCTTTTTCACTGCCTGCTCATCCCACCCTCCAGACATCCAGGTGGTCTATCAGGGAGAATATCAGTTCTCTCCTCCCCCATGTTCCTCAGTGTCAAACATTCCACCACTCTGTTTCATTCTGGTGGCTTAAGCACTTCTCTCTCTGGATCCCACTTTCACAATATAAGTACCCCTTGAAGGGGCACTGCATTGTTACTAACACCTTAGTTAGTGACCCAAGGCTTGTTGGTCTTATATTTTTTCACCTTCTAGGACAATGACATTTCCCTGGCTGTAACTCATCCCCTCAGGGCTAGGTTCTCTGAGCCTTACAGAGGAATAGTTAGCTAATCTGAGCAGCTAAAGCATTTTGATATACTTGGAAAAGTGTGGGGAGGTAGAGTCATGGGACTGCCTGTTTGTCTGTCTGCCTTCCTTCCTAGGTAATACATAATATATGTGCATTCTGACAGTGACCTTCAGGCCCAAATATCATCCCCATATTTGGGGATCCCCTATTATTGATTCCTATTATGGTGATTCCAGGTCAGACAAGAACAGAGGGTAAGTCATGGTGGTCTATTAGGATCCTTTTCAAGACCCTCAAATCACAGCACTATCAACACATAGGGTCAATCCTCCAGAATGATCTTTCAAAGGACTTTTTCTATCTAGCTCTTAGGGTCTATGATTCCACTAGCCACACAGTGAGATTTATTTCAGTCTGTTTTCACACCACACATCACCCTCACACTTGAGTATGTATAAAAATCCCAACTATTTTTAGGTGGAATATTTGTTATTTGTATTTATAGAACCCAAAGGTTGGAAGGAAAATCAAAAGAGGTTTTCCAATGGAGAGGGACAGTACTTAGGCCAACTCAAAAAGGTGGTTATCTGTACTCCTTTGTAAGAGCCTGGGCAGGTGCCTCAAGCCTAGGGAGTTAGGGCTACTCCCCTTCGTGGAGAGGTTTTCCTTTGCATTTAACTTAATCTCTTTCTGCTATTTAAACTTCTCATTCCCATGTTGGGTATTCTCTATATAGCCTTCATCTGACAGGCAGCTTGGTGTAGTGGACTGAGTGTGGAATATGGAGTCAGGAAAACTTGTGCTCAGATCTTGAGAAACATTTAGCAGGATGACTCTACCTGGGTCAGTCATTCCACCTCAGTTAGCCTCAGTTTCTTTGTGAGTAAAATGGGGATACTAATAGAATCCATTCTACAAAATTGTTGTGAAGAGTAAATGAGATAATATATAAGTAACATGCTTTGCAAATCTTAAAGTACACTATGTGGTACCTATTATTATACTATTATTATCATCTGTTTGGAAAAGGTGACAAGATCACCCATCAAACTAAATTATGGCCCTAGTCTAGCATAGAAGTTCTTAAACCTTTTGGTCTCAGGACCCCTTTACAATCTTGAAAATGACTGAAGACCCTTAAGAGCTTTTGTTTATGTGGATTATATTGATCAACCTTTATTATTTTAGGAATTAAAACATTATTATTATGAAAAGAGTTTAATATTTATGGACCCCTTGAAAGAGTCTTAGAAATACCTAGGCATCCCCAGACCACACTTTGAGAAGCATTGCTTCTATATAATCATCCCAGTTGGCAAAATTATGAAGCCCAGCCTGGTTGATTATTTGATGGTAGCTGTTACCATTGCTCTCCTTGCTTTTCCCATGATCACTGGGAATTGATAACAGGGACAGGGACATCATGGGCTATGGAAAATACCCTTGCTCATTACCTGCTTCATGATCACTTCTACCCAATCTCCTCCTATCCCATGATCTCAAAAAGCCTCAGTAAGAGAAAAAGGAACTCCTTTCTAAATAGTCTGAGGATCTGTGTTTCATAAGGCAGCAAGAATTTTAGAAATTAGCTTTAGGTTGATGGCAGGGATGTTACTGAATGTTTAGGAGGATTGTAGAAGGGACCTGCTTCCAGTGCCTGTCCTTTATCCCTTTATTGCAGGCGATAGCCAGGATAGGGAGATGCATCTTGAATTTGTCAATCTTGAATTTGACATTTTCGGCTACACGCTTGGGTCCAGGAAGGTCACTCAAAGTCTTGGTCAGTTTGTACATTGTCCTCCACATGTTGCCCACTTCTTCGGTGATTTCTTCAGCATTTAGTGTGTACAGAGGCCCTGCAAGAGTGGAGAAGGGGAGTTTCAGGTTATAGATATATACATATAGGGATAGAAGGAAGGGGAGTTTCAGGTTATAGAGACACAAGTCACATGTTGTAAACCCAAATTCTTTAACAATTCCTGCCTCAGAAAGAAACAATAATAACAAACATTTGCAGGGAATTCTCTTTACCAATGCAGGTCAGCCTCTTTTTCTGTAATTTGAAAGCCTTAGTTGTTTAGAGTATTGAGAAGTTAAGTAACTTGCACCAGGTCCACAAAGCCATTATGCGTCATAGGCAGGACTTGCCTCTGACTGGTTCTCTACCACTATACATGTTATTAAAATTCACAAAGCATCATATATCGTGTCATTTGAGTCCTGCAACAATCCTGTGATGTAGGTGTTACAGATATTATTATTCTCATTTCACAGATCAGGTTAAGTGACTCATAGTAAATATCAGGCAGAATTTCTGACTCCAATTACAGGACTCTATTAAAGTATTTTAATTTCCTGTTCAGCCATATTCTCCCTGTGCTTCAGCTATTCTTTAGTGGCACAGAAAATCAAGTCATCAATCAATAAACATTTATTAAGCATTAATTATTATCTAGGCATTGTGCTTAATGTCAGGAATACAAAGAGGCAAAACACAATCCTAGCCTAAGAAGTCTACAATCTAATGGAAAAGGTGTGTAAATCCTTTCCAATTTTAAGGGAGAAGTATTATTGAGTAGCTGATGATTTTCAGTGCTGCCAATGATTAAAGCAGCAACCAAAAGGTGTCTTAGTCACAAGGAATTATTACCCTCCAACCATGAAGAATCTGACTCAGTTATCACATTCCCTCAAGTTTCATTGTCTCAACTCTGTAGATATGGAGACTGAGGCACCAACAGATAAAGTGATCTGCCCCAGGTCGTACAGTGAATGCAAGTGAGTGAACAGGCTAGGAAAAAACCCTCAGCCTCTTAGTCCCAGGCTCTTTATGCTGGCTGCAGAGCCACCATCTGAGGTTGGGTGGTGTTAACAAGAACCGTGAAATGATGTCCTCATAGAGATGGAAATAGTTATGCCTAGAATGGTTGTTGCAAAGTGACAGTGTGTTCATTTTATTCTGTCTGTCTGCCATATCTGCCAGAGCAGTGATGGCCCCATTCTGGATAATGTTTGCTTCTAAAGGAGAAGGCATCAGATAATAGGAGCTTGAATAATAGCTGTGCTAAAACACAACTAATTCAGCCTATAATGAAATGAAGGGTTGGATTAAAGCAGTGGTTCTTGACCTCTCTTGTTGTCAAGGACCCCTTTGACAGTCTGGTAAAGCCCATGGCCCCTTCTCAGGGTAATGTCTTTAAATAATTGGAGGAAATGCTAAATTTCAGTTAGAGGTGAGTAAAAATAAAGATATATGTTCATGGACCCCTCCAAATCTATCTACAGAAACTCTCCCAGGCTCAGAACCCCCAGACTGGATGATCTCTAAGATTCCTTTCAACTCCCTCAGAGGGTTGAGAAGGAAGGTGGGATATCCATGAACCTTTAATCACATCTGTGTGACAGGAATCTTGAAGAGAAAGAATAGGTGCCAATGGGTCTGAATAGACCCAGTAGGACTCTTGGTCAGAGTGAAATTGACTCACAAACAACCCTATTTATAACTCTTACCGGAAGTGATGGCCTTAAGGATGGGGTTTTGGTTGGGGAAATGTGTCTAACTGGGGTGTGGGGAGTTTACAGGCTGATTCTATGTATGGAAGTTAAGCATAATGGAGTGTGATATAGCGGAGAGAACAAGTGGCAAGAAAGCCCTGGGCTAAGATTCTGACTCAGACACTCGTCAAGTCACTTAAATTTCAGTTTCTTCATCTGTACAATAGGAAGGGGAAATTTATGACATTTACCAGGTGTTATAGTGGATATGAATAGAATATTAGACTTGAGGTCAGAAAGACCTGAGTTCAGACACTTATTAGCTGTGTGACCTTGAGCAAGTCACTTAATATCTCTTGGTCTCTGTTTCCTCACCTGTAAAATGAGGATAACAATAGCACTTAGATGAAGGGTAGTTGTGAGGATCAAATGAGATAATATATGTAAAGCATTCTGCAAATTTTAAAGTTATATAAAAAATACCAGTGATTATTATGGAATGAATGTAGAATTTGAAGCCAGAGGTCCTGGGTTCAAATCCAGATCTACTGCCTGCTACCTGTGTGACCTTGGACAATTCATGTCTTGTCTTTGATACTCAGTTTCCTCATCTATAGAAATGAGTGGATTAGAATAGATGAAGTCTAAGAGATCTCTAACTCTAAATACTATGATCCCAAATTTGTGTTTGTATATTATAGCAAGAGTTGATGGAATAGCTCTCCTTTCTGAAGGATCAGGCTGAAGTAGTTACTCTAATTTGTGATACCCTGGAAATAGTCCTGCTCTTCCCACCTTAGTGTCTCCATCTCGGTTTCTATTTCTTACTTTCTGTGTGTGTGTGTGTGTGTGTGTGTGTGTATGTGGGTCTGTCAGTCTGTCTGTCTCCACCCCCCCTTTTCTTCTCCCCCTCTCTTCTTATCTTCCAGATCTGTCCAGTTTGGCATCACTTGCCCCAGACCATTCTCCTCACCATTCATCCACTCTTCTGATTTGGTGAAGAAGTTGTAAGCTGTCATCCAGAGCTGCTCAAAAGGCACTTTGTTGGTCATCACCACCTGCAGAATGGGGAACTTACTCTTCTCCTTTTCTAACAGCTCCTCCTCTCTGTTGATTGCCTGTGAAAAGCAAACAGCATAATCAGCCATCTGACCATCAATGCCCTCTGCCAGACACCTAAATCACCTGGTCCTGCCACAGCCCAGAGGCTTTCTAGTGACTGGGAGCTCTGAGATCCACATTTAAATCCCCAGTCTCTCACTTTCCCTCTTCCACATTGTGACTCAGTCATAGAGAGCCTAGATCTAGAGTTGGAAGAGTAACTAAGGTCATCTCATCCAATCCCCTCATGTTACAGATGAGGAAATTGAGGCCCAGAGAGGTTAAGGGGCTTATCTAAAGTCACAAAGGTAGTAAGCATCATATGTACTCTCCAACCCTCCTTGAGACAGAGTCACAATTCTGACTTTTAGTCATGACATTCATAGGTACCAGAAAATGCAAGAAGTCGTTTAACTGGTTCTGAGTTGCAAGTAGTGATATCTATGCGAGCAACAAAGAGCCTCAGGTCTTTTTCACCCAGTGCCCTTCCCTCCCACAACCCAGAATCACAAACCTCAAATTCCACTAGTGCTGTTTCCAGGTTTTTAGTCAAATCATTAAGTTTTTCAACATTGTTCTTCATTTCCTCCATGTTTACCACTTCTTTCTTTCTAAAGCTCTCCACTTCCTTGAAGTAATTCTCAAGTCTCCCCTCAAATTCGGCACACCTGATTCAAAGACAGCTCCAGTCATCTAATGAGTTTCAGTTGGGTCCATTTGCAATGGATAGTAGCTATGGGGAGCCCTTCCACAGTCTGGCCTGGCGAAAATTTAGTTCCGGGGAGCCACTTGATATTTTGAAAGAGATAACTGCAAAGGGGTATAATTTAAAGAGCTTTGAAGTAGGAAATCAGGAGGCCCAGATAATGTGGCCATGCCCACCACTGACTCGCTGTGACCTTGGGTAAGTGACTTACCATGTGTTTTGGTTTCTCAATCAGTAAAATGTGGCTTAATTCTCTCCCAGTATTATTGTGAAGATAAAATGAGGTAATTTGTGTTTAATCAATGTGATAAATATAAAGCTATATGGAAATGTAGAGAGATAATGTGGCAAAATGGATAGAGAGTCATTCTTGGAGTGGGGAAGACCAGGGTTTAGCAGCTACCTCTGGCACACACAGGCTGGGTGACCTTCTCAGTGTCCTAGGACAGTAGTGTCAAACTCAGATAGAAACAGGGTCACTAAACCTTATATAAGGATCCCTGCAGACTGCTTAGACAGACTTAGAAAACTACTTAATAACATTAACTGTATTCTATTGTGGGCAGCTAGATGGTACAGTGGATAGAGTGCCAGGCCTGTAGTCAGGAAGACTCATCTTCCTTCCCAAGTTCAAATCTGACCTTAGACACTGGCCGTGTGACCCTGGATAAGTCACTTTACCCTGTTTGCCTCCATTTTTTCATCTGTAAAATATGCTGGAAATGGAAAACTACTCTAGTCAAAAAAACCCCAAATGGGGTCACAACTGAAATGACCGAACAAAGCAAAAATGTTCTCTTGTATTTTTATTTATTTTGTTAAATATTTCCCAGTTTATCTTAATCTGGTTCTGGCTGCCCTCAGGAGTACTGTGAGTCCCAGTCCAATTTGATATCTCTGTTCTAGATCCCATTGTATGGCTATAAGTTGCAAAAACATGCTGACCTGTACTGGTGCAGGGAGTTTCCTCATATGAGAAGGATCCCTGTACCAGTGAAATCTCAGGTCTAGTCTCTGTACTTGTCTAAATATAATGAATTGTATTATGTATCTGTAAATCCAACATTCTTGAAGACCAAGCATAATCTCCTTTAGGTTTCAGTCTGCAGACCAATATTGAAAGAAGGGATGGGAATAAACACTTATATAGTGCCTGTGAGGGAAGTGCTATTATTATTCCCATTTTATAGTGGGAAAATTGAGGCAAACCGGTCAAGTGAATTGCCCTGGATCACACAGCTTGTGTGCTTGTGGTCCCACTTGAACTCATGTCTTCCTGCCTCCAGACCCAGTACTTATTCCTCTGCACCACTTAGATGCAACTAGAACCATGATTAATTTCCTATAAAGCTGGTGGACCTATTAAATAGCATTTTCTATCTTCCTGCTGAAAGTCATCATTTCAAATCAAGAAATTTTCAGCTCGGGAATGATTTTTAATTTGGGTCAAAATCAATGTCCCCAAAATAACTGGCATGGCAAATTCTGAGTTCTGACCCAGTGTGGTTCTCCTTGACCTTACTCTGAACCCCAGTTTCCTAATCTGTAAAATGGGATCAGTGAAACGTATACTATCTACTTCATAGGACTGGTGAGGTTCAAAGGAGACTACAGGTTACATATTACCTCAGTTTCCTCATCCTTGAAATGGTATTAATAACAACAATTCTGGCTATTTCCTAAGGTTTTTGTGAGGATCAAGTGAGATTATGTATATAAAGTACTATATTAAATGTAATCTATGTTTATTGTGAGCAACAAGGTGGCACAGTGGATAGAGTGCCAGGCCAGGAGTCAGGAAGACCTGAGTTCAAATCTGGCTCAGATATTTACTAGCTGTGTGACCCTGGGCAAGTCACTTTACCCTGTTTGCCTCAGTTCCTCATCTATAAAATGAGCTGGAGGAGGAAATGGCAAACCACTCCAGTATCTTTACCAAGAAAACCCCAAATGAGGTCACAAAGAGTCCAACGTGACCGAACAACATATGTATTGTCAGTCAACAAGCATTTATTAGGAATTTACTATGTGCCAGGCACATAGTAAATTCATCCTGATTATCCTATTTACTCCATTCATCCTGATGATCTTAAATGAGAAATAATTCTAGGGAAATTTCTTATTGTGCTTCTAGGACCAGAGCACACCACAGGGATTTATGCCCATAGCCCTATGGCAAAAGAGCTGGGCACATCTCCGACCCGTCAAACTTCCTCAAATTCTGACAAGTAGGCTTCAATCTTTAGGAACACACCCCTGACAAGTATGCTTAGATCCCAAGCACAACAAATCCCACAGATGACTGAGTCCCATGCAGGGAGTGGTGTTAGGATACAGACTCTGGCCTCCTGAGAAACATGGCTGCAACTTTTAATACCCATCTAGCTGTGAACTATTTTCTTATCATTGCTGCTTCTGAGTGCTTTTCAGTATTCAATTCAATTCAGTATAAAAGTATACATGCCTATAATGAGCAAGGCATTGTGTTAGGCCTTAGGGATTCAAAGATAAGAAAGGAAACCGTTCATTCATAGATCTTGAGCTGGAAGGATCCTCAGAGGCCTAGATCTAGAACCCCTCGCTTTTGACAGATGACAAAATGGAAGCCTAGGGAAGTTAGGAGATTTTTCCAAGGCTATGAAGGTTTAAATGGGAGAGCTGGATGGGGTTTGAACTTGGGTTCTTTTGCTCTGGGACTTCTTTCACTGTCTCACATTCCCTCCACGTTCTGTTCTCAAGGAGTTCATGTTCTATGAGATGGCATACAATAGGAACACAGATAAATATAATGGGGGGGATGGGGATAATAGGCAGCTCGGTAGTGCAGTGGATAGAATTTGAGGCCTGGAGTCAGGGAGACTCATTATTCTGAATTTAAATCTGGCCTCAGATACAAGATGTGTGACCCTGGGCAAATCACTTCACCCTGTTTGCCTCAGTTTCCTCATTTGTAAAATGAGTTGGAAAAGAAAATGGAGAACTGCTCCAGTATCTTTGCCAAGAAAACCCCCCAACTGAAAAAAATGACTGAATTACAGCAACAGGGAATGATAAGGACAAAAGAAAGATCCTAAATGATTCAGGAATATTTGAATCCTGGAGAAGGCACCTGAGGTGAGGATTCAAAGAAGATAAGAAACCTGAAAGGTAAAGGTGGAGAGGGAATTCATTCTAGTCATTGGAAGTATGTAAATTCGTAGAAAGAGGAGAAGTTCTATGGAGTTTGGGGAACTTTAGTTGAAATGAACTTTAGCATGAATAAAGGAGAGTGATATGAACTAGGTCTAGAGAAGTAGGTTGGTATCAGACTGTAGAAGGACTTAAATGTCAAAATACGGAGTTTGTATTTTTTTTTTAAATAGGCAATATGGAACCATAGGAGACGTTGAGTAGGGGAGTGACTATGCCTTAGGAAGATTTTTTTTTTTGGCAGCTACGTAGGTAAAGGAAGGAAAATCTGTCTATCAATACCAATATTTTCCTGTTCATGCTAGATGGTTAAGAATCAAAACTAGGAAAAACTAAAATTATAGATCGTCCAAAAGACAATGAAGAAAAACATGGGGGAGTCTATATACAATAAACTGGAGTACATGACCAGCATAGAACTGTCCATAATATGGGACACACAAAAAAAAATAATTAAAAAGATTTACAGAAAAGGATATCAGATGTATAGCCTATATGCTGCATTGAGACCTTTATAATGTTGAACCATACTCTGATAGACTCCCAGTTTCTATGGAAAACTTACAGGCAACATAAACATGAATCACACAAGACGAGGAGGCATGAGTAGCTTGAATCTGTATCATTGGAGGGAACAGTCTCAGAAGAGATCAACAATCCGTTGATGTATTGAAGATAGATGAAATGGAGAATAGCAAGAATGGAGACAGGGAGATCCATTTTACAATAGTCAAGATATGGGATACTGTGGTTTTAAATGGAAGATATGGCAGTACAAAAAGAGCTGTTGTGGAGGTAGGGTCTATAGGACCTGAGGATTGACTAAATATGCCTGGTAAGAGTGAAGAAAAGATCAAGATGAGTCTAAGGTTATGAACTTGAGTGACTAGGAGGATAGTGGTACCCTTTACAGAAATAGTGACATTTGGAGGAGGGGCAGAGTTAGAGGAAAAGGTGATGAATTCCATTTTGGGTATGGTGAATTTGTGGTACTGGTAAGATATCTGGGGGAAATGACCACTGGTATTCAGAGAACTAGGACTAGAGTTCAGGAGACGGATTAGGGCTGTATATAAAGATTTGGGAGTCATTTCTGTAGGGATAATGGAAGCCATGAAGGATAATGAGATCACCAAGGGACAGTGTGACCAGAGAAAGGAAGAACAGAGGCAGGACAGAACCTCTCCTACTTGGGGGATGAGAGACGGATGATGATACAGCAAAAGAGAATGAGAAGAGACAGCCAGGCAAATAGGAAAACCATGAGAGAATTGTGTAATGGAAGCTAAAGAGTATAAATGTTCAGAAGGAGGGGGTCTAGACTATTAAATGACAATTGTTCTGGATAATAATAATAGTAATCCTAACAACAGTTAGCATTTATATAACACCTTAAAGTTTGCAAAGTGCTTTACAAATATTATTTCATTTGATCTTCATAACTACCCTGTCAAGCAGGTGCTATTATCTCCACTTAACAGATGAAGAAACTGAAACAGATAGGTTAAGTGTCTTTCCCAGGGTCACATTGCTAGTAGTGTTTGAATTCAGGTCTTCAGAACTCCAGGTCTGTTGCTCTATCCATTGTTATCACCTAGCTGCCTCATATGAATGTAATGGAGTATCATTGTATGATAAGAAATAATGAAAGAGACAAATTGGGAAAAACTTGGGAAGATTTGTATTAATCTTAACAGGTAACATTTTTATAGACTTTTATGTGTCAGGCACTGTGCTAAGTGCTTTACAAATATTATCTCAATTGATCCTCAC